TTTTCAGAGGATAAAACATGACGTTCTTGTGGAGAGACTGACGTTCTTGTGTGAACGAACTGTCGTACAAAGCATAACAATAATCTAGTTTGAATCTTAATTAAATAAATATCAATCTAAAATCAGCTGCTGTTACGATTTTATCACTTGTTATGTTTTTGATCCATCAGCTAATTTGATTAAAAGTTGAAGTCTATCTGGTGAGTTCGACTACTGTCTACTTGGAGTAAGATAAAAGATAACTCTTCTACACTAGCACTAATAAACGTCTCAGCCACCCACATACACCTACGACATCGTTTTAACCGTTTTTTGAGGCATCGCTATTAAGCATAGTTTCTGTTCTTCTTTCGACTATTTCGTCGACTCTTACTTTGCCTAATAGAAGTCAACGAATGAATTAATATGCTTTTAGATAAAAAAAGGATTTAAACTAGAAAATGAGATATTCAAGTTATTGTTTGAACAGTCAGATGTCTTTATAGCAAACACAAAAACGATTGTATCGCTTTTCAAAATAAAACCTCGTGTTAGATTAGTTCGTGGTTGTCGTAAGTGAACTAGTATTATTATAAAGTTAGCTGATGGATAAAGCTAATCTTGAAGGCAAGTGAATGTGACTAAAAAAAGGAAAACAAGTAACTGAGAATATTGTTAAATTATTTGATCTATATCTATATATGTGTTTGTATTTCGACACTCTGTGGTCATTTTATTCGCATCGTTGTTTTAAAAATGCACTATACACTCGACGATACTCGTCAACAGCTAAACGAACTTCCAGTGCTAGTTGAAAAGTTAGTCCATGCCCACGTTAACTCAGATGGCGCAATAATTTTTAACGGTTTGAAAAAGTATTTGAATCAAATTCGACAGTGTGGTCATATGACAATCATCGGAAAAAAAGCTTGTTATCGAAGTGCCCTTGGGATTGCGCTGTTTTTGAAGGAATTATTAAGCATACCTGTTACTGTATTATTACCATTGGATTTTCGCTATGGAGCGATTAAGCGTTCTGGTCTATTCTTTTTCGTTTCGGATTCACGTAAGTTGCTGAAAAGATTCTGCTCCTGTGGAGTTGATGTTCTAGTCCCTTTTAGATCTAACAACTGATGCTGAATCAGTGTTAAGGTACTGCAAAGAACGTGGTGCAGTTATATTGGCAATGACCAACAACGAGTCTTCGAGAATCGCTTGTGGGACACACTGCGATTTTGTTGTGAATATTGGTGCAGAAAAAAGTATTTGGTCGAAAAAGTATTTGGTTTGTAAATCTAACTCGTCTGTCATTTTGTTTAGGTTGTTCCAATGTAAAAGCGTACATACTTTACTCTATTGAACTCATCCTATTTGATTTAAATTTATGCGAAGATATGATTCGTCAAGATAGACGATGTGAATTACTTTTGGATGAACTACGTCAATGTCCAGATCTCATTCGAAGGTTATTCAAGTGCGATGGTGATGTGTTTGATTATGCCCAACAGTTGAATCATCTTAAAGAATCATTCCTGCTGATTATGGGAAACAGATTAAATTTGGGCATATGTCTGGAAAGTGCAGACGTAAGTCGAAAACAAGATATGTTCATGACTATCGCTCTTGGAAGTGAACAGACAATACAGATTAAATGACACATTATCGACTCTCAGGCGCTTGCATCTACAGAAATCTATTCTATTTATAACTCGAATAGGGGTTTGTACAGTTTAGCTGATTAATTTTTCCTTTTCTTTTAGAACGTTTCTGTACTAACCGATATGAAATGTGAAGAAGCGATGATAACGGAGATTAAAACCCAAGGGGGAAAAAGCATACTTCTGTACTTCTCGGTACCTCTCCGTACTTCTTGATACTTCTTACTTTTTCGTACTTCTCCGTACTTCTGAAGTACGAAGTACGAAAGAGGGAAAAGTACAAAAAAGTACGAAAAAGTAAGAAGTATCAAGAAGTGCGGCGAAGTACCGAGAAGTACAGAAGTATGCTTTTTCCCCCTTGTTAAAACCTCTCAAGTCACACTCATTAAAGATAGTGTCCCACTAGTAGCCATTCTGTTAGATGAACCATTAAAATCTGTAAGTAAACAAAGTCTTCTGAAACAAAGTATGAACGAGTTCTCTATTTTAGAAATGTATGCACTTATTTACGCAAGTGGTGTCATATGGTGGTAACGTTCTACTTATTACAACCGAAAATGATCATAAGTTGCCCGTTAGCAGAGATCGAATTGTAGTACCACCAGTAACACACTATCTCCAAAGATTACTATGCCTGATACCGATGTATTTACTAGCCATTCATATTGCACGTTTACATAATGTACTGTTTGTTGACCCAAATTATTTGTAATATCCTTTTTTTCTTGAAATTCTCATTGTGTTTTATATGTACGCTTTTCTCTGTAAATTGCACAAATAAAGCATGCTAGAGGAAATGTAACAGAGTAACCTAAAAAAGTCTACTTCACACTCCTTCATCGCAGTTTTAAAAAAAAACATGTTTTTTGTTGAATTCTATTGACACATTCGACAACAATGTATTTCCTTGGATATCACTGTTGATTTGTAAGATAAATGTGTATATATTAATCATTTTCGGATCAATAGTTATCTTTCCTTTCTATTTTACTAAGCGCTTCGGATCTTTATAAAACTAGATGGAAGACAATAAAAACAAAAAGATGAACGTACAGCACCTTTTTCTTGACTCCTTTCTAATATGCGTCCATCCAAAACTTTTATCCTGCTGCCATCACTAATTTATCTTAATGTGAGAAACAACAACAATGAAACATATAAATATGTAAGAGGCCGGTTTAGAATGTAAGCTAGCTGAAGTTAATCAAGTATATCAAAGTCGATCTTGATAACATAAACACGAATGGACGACAGAGGTTCCATAATTTCAACTAATTCACGTTAAAAGAAATAAAAGATGTTTTCAACTCTATCTTTTATTTTGAGATAAAGAGAGCTAATATTATCACATATCTTGCACGAAATAATTTTTCGAATAAGATCATCTTTAGAATTATTTTATTACAAATGCAACGGACACATGTTAATTGTGGAAAATACATTGCGAGGGTAGATCAACAAGGGTAGTTTAGAAGGTTAAGAACTTCAAGATCAGAAATTTTACTCGACTATGAATTGATCACTATTTAGTTACCTTAGAAAAATACACGTGCTTCTAGAACTATGAACTTTGTTTGCGCCAAGAAGAGGAAAAGAGTAAAATAAATTTTTACGACGATGCTTGGGAAGTAGATAACGACCCTTTAGAGTGAAATCTTATACATATCATAGATCTCCTTTTACTCAACTGATTGATTGTTATTGTTTTCTAGTATGTTCGTCTAGAAATGAAATCCCGTTATGATAGAATTTTTTTTACGCTTCCACTACTCGGACACTTTATTACGCTTTTCCTACGGGATATATGTGAAGAACAGAAAAGTAATAGTAATTAAGTAAAAGTAATAACTAAGTAATAATTTCATTAGTATAAAGAAATTAGTAAATTTGTGTTTTAATTTAAAAGCCAGTTTCTGAAAAAAGTGAGAATGACTAATTACATTTGAGTTGCTCTAATTTTTGGTGTACGTTAGACTGTCAACAATATTTACACTTCATTGTTGTCTATCTCCAATTATGTGAACTGCAAGATCCGTTTGCATGAATTAATAATTAATGATGAAAAATGAATTTCTGAGGCTTTTTTTTTTTTTGCCTCTCCAAATAACTCAACTATAAATAGAAAAGTTGGCAGAGTATTATCTGCATTATCAGTGAAAGTTAATATATACACTATTCTTTTTGTATCATCCGAGGTGAAAGGTATTGAGACTATTTCATCCAATAATCTGAAATAAAAATTACGGTAGCTTGCTATTGTACAAGTAATTTTATCTAGCAGTACAGCAGTGTGAGATCCAAACATACAGTTCCATGTATATACCAGGATTCCTAAACTTCTAAGACGAGGTTCTCATAAAACCAATTCACAGTCTAACCTCCAACATAGGCTATGAAAAGCCTTTGCGCCTTTTATGTGATAGTCAGTAACCTATACCAATAAATCAAACTATAAGGTCAATGAAACAAAAACTCCAGAACGAATCCAAAAGTGTATTATTCAAACATACTCATCTTTGTCTAAATCTCCGTCATAAACAGCATTATTTTCCGATTACGCGTATTGCTCAATAGAAATCATGAACAGCTTTCCCGTTGATGGAAGACTTTCTATTTTAAAAACAAAAAATCGATGTTTCTTACGAGGGAACATTCCCAAGTGACGCGCTCCGATTTCATTCGTTCGTACGTCGATCGATAGAGGATAGTGAGCTAGTAAAAAGCCTAAAAGGGTTCGGGCTCTTTACTCTTGAAGACCCGGTTTTCTGTAAAACCAGTTTTTCAGAAACTTTAAGAAATAAGCAAAATCTTTTCTTAATGAGGTATAATTGCAGCCCGTACATTTCTGATTAAAATGAGACATCTCCC